TATGTGTTGCACCGTTGCTCCATTTTGGAGCATGCTCTATATGAAACTTGCTTAGAATTGCATGTAGTTTCATCTTATCATGTTGCATCAATGTTTTGAGAGTGTTTGTTTGATATTTGAATGCATTTTGTATCAATGCATTTCAAAATTTGACATATGTTGTTTCCGGCCTCATTTAAACTTGCTTTGATGTGTTGCTTTTGTATGCACCATCTCTTGCCATGAGTAGTGTCATATAGCCTTGTCATGCATCATGCTTGGATGTGCATCATGTCACGTTCATGTGTTGTGTGTTTACCATGTGATTTGCTTCTTTCCGGGTGTGCTTCTTCTCGATAGTTCCTATTTCGTTGCGATCGTGAGGATTCGTTCGTCTACGCTTGGTTCGTCTTCGCCCGTTCATCTTCTTCATGGACTCGTTCTTCTTCCTTGCGGGATTTCAGGCAAGATGACCGTTACCCTGGATCTCATTACTATCATTGCTATGCTAGTTGCTTCGTTCTATCGCTATGCTCCGCTATCTATCACTTGTTTATCAAGCCTCCCAAATTGCCATGTCAGCCTCTAACCTTTTCACCCTTCCTAGCAAAACGTTGCTTGGCTATGTTACCGCGTTGCTCAGCCCCTCTTATAGCGTTGTTAGTTGCAGGTGAAGTCGAAGATTGCTCCATGATGGACCGGATTATGTTGGGATATCACAATATCTCTTATTTAATTAATGCATCTATATATTTGTTAAAGGGTGGAAGGCTCGGCCTTAGGCCTGGTGTTTTATTCCACTCTTGCCGCCTTAGTTTCCGTCATACCGGTGTTATGTTCCTTGATTTTGCGTTCCTTACGCGGCCGGGTGTATGGGAACCCCTTGTCAGTTCGCTTTCAATAAAACTCCTCCAGCAAGGCCCAACATTGGTTTTACATTTGCCTAACAACCTATTACCTTTCCCTTGGGAGTAATTAACCCTAGGGTCATCTTTATTTTAAACCCCCTGGGCCAGTGCTTCTCTAAGTGTTGGTCCAAATTAGAGCCCTTTACAGCGCCCCCTCAGGGAAACTTGAGGTCTGGTTTTAGTTGTACGGATTGCTCATCCGTTGTGCCCTGAGAACGAGATATGTGCAGCTCCTATCGGGATTTGTCGGCACAGTCGGGTGGTCTTGCTGGTCTTGTTTTACCATTGTCGAAATGTCTTGTAACCGGGATTCCAAGACTGATCGGGTCTTCCCGGGAGAAGGAATATCCTTCGTTGGTCGTGAGAGCTTATGGATGCGTTTGGTTGCTGGGCTATCCCTCCAGTGGATAGGGATAGCCGTTTTTTGAATGGATGCCACCCGTTTGGTTCTTTGGCGAGCTGGGATGAGAAAGGATATGGTCAGCCGGATTCTTCGAATATTCCTCTGAAATTCGGCTCCGCACGTCCGTGAAAAAGTCGCGGACATGGGCATCCCTCGTGCGGGCGAATCGTTTTCCACAACCTTGCTCGTTCACCACCCCTTCTATCCCCTTTCTTTTCTACCTCATCAGTGGTGATGGCCACAACAGATCCAACCATGACGTCGGAGGTGAGCGCATGACACCATGGCTCTCTCCTTCCATATCTTCCTCCCCGCCATGACCTCTCTCCTTCTTTTCTTTCATCTCCCGCTCGAGCTGTAGCTAGCAGAGGTCATGGAAGAAACTGCAGACATGTGAGATTCGCGCGCGGGCGTCGGTGCCCTGTGGATGGAGGTGGTTCTCCCCGACCGATGCTCCCACCGGCGGCATAGCGTGGGCGTGGCCCTTTGGGAGAGAGGAGACGAGTCATGCGGGCTGCTCTAGTGCTTGGTGGCTGCTGCTCCTGACCGTCGCGCTTGAACTTCTGAGCACAGATCTGGCCTCCTCCCCTCTTGATTTTTTCTGATCTGGCCTCTTGTGTGCACAGCCGGCTGTCCAGATGCATGTGGACTTGGTGCTTTGAAGAATTTGTCCCCATCGAGGAACGATGTGATGCTAAATCGGTGTTCAGTAGGAACAACGCAATGCATATGTAGTTTGTGTGGACGGTGGATAAGTTTCCTAGCTAATTGCTAGAAATGCAAACTGCTTTCATATGCATATGCTTTGTTTATTGCAAAAATCAGATTCCAGTGCTTATCCATCACTCGTCACTCAAACCAAACAAAAACTCGGCTAACCTCACCCACCCAAACCAAACAAGAAAAATGGTTATCCTTGTCCAGCTGGCTGAGGATACCACTAACCACTCTAGTCTGTCCATTAAACCAAACACACCCTATAAGGGCTAAGTTGGGACACCCCTACAGGGTTTAAACTTTCGAAAGCCGTGACCACAGTTATGTGGCAGATGGGAATTTGTTAATGTCCGGTTATAGAGAACTTGACACCTGATTCGATTTAAAATACCCAACCGTGTGTGTAACCGTGATGGTCTCTTTTCGAATGGGTCGAGAAGTGAACACGGTTTGTGTTATGTATGACCGTAAGTAGTTTCAGGATCACTTCTTGATTACTTCTAGCTTCTCGACCATTGCGCTGCTTCTCTTCTCGCTCTTATTTGCGTATGTTAGCCATCATATATGCTTAGTCGCTGCCGCAACCTCACCACTATCCTTTCCTTACCCATTAAGCTTTGCTAGTCTTGATACCCATGCTAATGGGATTGCTGAGTCCTCGTGGCTCACAGATTAATACAACAACAATTGCAGGTACAGGTTTTGCGATGATCATGACGCGAGAGCGATGTTACTTGTTTTGGAGTTCTTCTTCCGCTTCTTCTTCGATCAGGGGATAGGTTCTAGGTCGGCAGCCTGGGCTAGCACGGTGGGTGTCGTTTGAGTTTCTGTTTGTGTTTCATCCATAGTCGGGTGTTGTTTTTATGTATGTTGAAGTTGTATGTGTGTGGCATTGTATGCCTCTTGTATGTATCCCCAACTATTATGTAATGGTACGATGCGATGATATCCACCTTGCTAAAGCGTCTTCAATATGCGCTTCTATCCTTGGTGGGACCTTCGAGTTCTTTAGGATAGGGTCGCATATTGGGCATGACAGAAGATCACTTAGATCTCACAGTAATAGGCTACATCGCCATTACCTTGTGTATGCTACAATTCAGATATAAGGAATACATGTTGGAGGTAAACGTTTGTCGAAAATGACAAAGCGTAGACCTCACAGTAAGAGAGGATAGTCTGCAAATGAGCAGTAGATCACAACTCATTACCTTGTGATTCCAAATAAGATGAGGGAGAAACATTCAAAAATTCGCAAGTTTGATATGCGAGAGAAGATCTCAATCGCAAAGACATGTTCGATAAAAATGAGATGTGGTAAACACATGGAACATGTCATTCTTCCCAGATGGAATCTGGTACTTTATTTATATTATCAATCCATTACATAATATAAACACACTAATAATTACACAAGTCCTAGTCAGATTTAATCTAGAACTGGACTAGTATGTAAGTAGCAGTCAAACTAGGTACTAAACAGAGTCTAAAACTGCACCATATACAATAATTAGTACTAGACTAATAAAAACAGAGAAAAAAAAACTTGAAGAGAGCAGGTCGATCGCCTGGGCCTGGGCCTGCCACCGCCGACCGAGGCCAACCCACAGCCACCCACGCCGCATAAGAGGAGGCGAGAGGTGGGGTGGTTACGGATAAGGACCCGCCCGACCCGCACCACGCTCGATCCCCCACCACCACCTGCGCTCGCAAGGAGCATGGAGACTAGTCGCCGGCGATTGGGGCGAGCGCCGGCGCCTCTCCTTGCATCTTCAGGTGTCAGCGACGCGACACCGATGAGGCCTCTTCATCTGAAGAGGAGACGACGACGGTGGAGGCCTGGCGCAGTGGAGTAGCGGTGAAGCCGAGGTTCGCCGGAGCCCATGAGCCTGGGCGACGGCCGGGGCGGCGGTCGAGGGCTACGACGACGCGTCCGAAGAGGCGGCCGAAGCGCCGCTCCGCGCGGCTGCTCGAGCCTGCGGTTGTCTCCTGTTGAGGCGTGCCGCCGCCGGCGGCGGCGGCCTCCATGCCGACTCCAAGGTGGACGACACCAGAGGCGCCGGATGGAGCGGAGATGAAGGCGAGCGCTTCCTCTGCATTCACCGTCGAGCGCATCGGCACCAGGGCGTAGCCAGGCGGGCGGAGGCTCGGGCCAGCGGCCACGGCATCAGGCGTCGGCGTTGACGGCAGGATCCATGCGGCCGACAGAGGAGGTGGTGGAGGCGGAGACCCAGTGGGCAGGGCAGGCGCGGTAGCGGCCCCGTGCATCATGGGGGCGCTCGGGCCGGCCACCAGCCAAGGGTCGTACCCCATGGGCGCCTGGCCACGGGTGCGGGGAGCACCACAGTGGGCGCGTCCAGGAGCACGGGGCCCGTGTCCAGGGGCGTGGTGAGCACCGCGACGGGCGCATCCAGCGGCGCGGTGGTTGCCAGGGGCGGCACGTCCAGCGGCGCTGCGGCCGAACCGTCGGATGGCTTGCATCCGGCAACGGAAACGGCGGTGGCCACCAACTCCATGGCGGCGAAGGGCAATGAGGCGGTAGCGGCGACCGTCCTCGCGGGTCAGACGAAGGAAAAAGGAGACGAGGCATGTCATCTCACCGGCGGCGAGTGCTTCCTCTCTTCTCCTTTCTTTGTTGCCTTTTCGCTCTCGCTGGCTGTTCTACGTGCATGATAACGTGTTCTGAATCGAAAGTGATTGATTGTCTTGATCGATGGTTACAGAGAGTATATATATCCCGTGAAGAGATGCGACGATCCCGAAGAGATGCATCGGTTCCAGGAGGACGGGAGAGAGGCGACGGTTGCGACGGACACAGTCTCCCGTGCGGGCGCAACCGCTCGTTCGATGGGCAAGGGGAGATTTCCCTTAATTACAGATTGTAGTTTAATCTTAACACGGTCATAACTCATAACCCACGAGCACTGAACCAGTCCCGCTGACCAGTGTGCTCGTCCGGTACAATTCCGGCAGTTCGCCAACAGCAGGAGGTGATGAGTCCACCACTCCACCCGCCGGCGGTCTACATAGAGATATCACGCACCACCACGAGTGGCCCACTGCCCCACAAGACGTATAGAACTAGCGCACCATGGTCCATTTCCATGGACCAAGTCCATGCTATTTTCCCCAAAAGAAAGTCCACGGCACCTCGCCCCCCTTCACAGAACGGCAGCGCTAACGACCGAGGCTGCCCCCTAATCCCCAATTTCCTGGGCACCCAACACGTCACTGTAGTAAGCTCAATCGCCTCGAGCAACAAGAGATCTCACCAGCTAATTCGATCCTGCGTCCGATTCGGGTCCTCGCCCGCCATGGGGTTCGACAAGGAGGCGAGCTCCTCCTCCTCCGGCCTCGACGCGGCGGCGCTGCTGCCGAAGCACGGCGGCGCGGGCGTCGGCGCCCGCCTGTCGTCGCAGCCCAAGACCTTCGCCAACGTCTTCATCGCGGTGGTCGGGTCGGGCGTGCTGGGCCTCCCCTACACCTTCTCCCGCACGGGCTGGGCGGCGGGCTCCATCCTGCTCCTCGCCGTGGCCGGGCTCACCTTCCACTGCATGATGCTGCTCGTCGCCTGCCGCCGCCGCCTCGCCGACGAGCACCCCAAGATCGCCTCCTTTGGGGACCTGGGCGCCGCCGTGTACGGCGCCGCGGGCCGCCACACCGTCGACGCCATGCTCGTGCTCAGCCAGGCCAGCTTCTGCGTCGGCTACCTCATCTTCATCGCCAACACCTTGGCGCACCTCCACCCCATCGGGGACCCGTCCGAGTCCTCGCCTCTCCTCACGGCCAAGGCGCTCTTCATCTGGGTCATGCTTCCGTTCCAGCTCGGGCTCAACTCCATCAAGACGCTCACGCTCCTCGCGCCGCTCAGCATCTTCGCCGACGTCGTGGATCTCGGCGCCATGGGCGTCGTGCTTGGCCAGGACGTGTCCACGTGGCTCACAGAAAGGCCCCCCGTGTTCGCCTTCGGGGGCCCCACCGAGCTCCTGTACGGCCTCGGCGTCGCCGTCTACGCGTTCGAGGGCATCGGCATGGTCCTGCCGCTGGAGGCGGAGGCCGCGGACAAGCGCAAGTTCGGCGGCACGCTCGGGCTGTCCATGGTATTCATCGCCGTCATGTACGGGCTGTTCGGCGCCATGGGCTACCTCGCCTTCGGCGCGTCCACGCGGGACATCATCACCACCAACCTCGGCGCCGGGTGGCTGTCGGTCACCGTGCAGCTGGGCCTCTGCATCAACCTCTTCTTCACCATGCCGGTGATGATGAACCCGGTCTACGAGGTCGCCGAGCGCCTGCTCTACGGGAAGCGCTACGCCTGGTGGCTGCGCTGGATCCTGGTCGTGTTCGTGGGGCTCATGGCGATGCTCGTGCCCAACTTCGCCGACTTCCTCTCGCTCGTCGGGAGCAGCGTCTGCGTCCTGCTCGGGTTCGTGCTGCCGGCCGCATTCCACATGAAGGTGCTAGGCGCCGAGATCGGGTGGCCTGCGCTCATCGCTGATGTGGCTGTCATCGTCGTCGGCCTGGCGCTCTCGGCGTCTGGGACATGGACGTCGCTCGCGCACATGTTTGGTGCTTCCAACGCGTAAGCATCACTGCACCAACAAGGACACGGATTCTTCCGGAATGCTCAAGTGTAAATTGTACTGTAATTAGCATTGAGACCCGTCGAGTTCAGCTGCCATGTTGAGTTGGGCATGGTAGTACATGGTCCCCTGCATTGCTTGTAAAGAAGAAGCAAATGGCATAGGCCCTCATGGTATCCCACGGCCAAATCTGTAGATTGTAATAGATGTCGCAAGGATCAAGCGACATCTACGAACCTGTGTGTATTGTACCAGAGTATTTATGTTTGAGCAAATTTGCCTAGTTCTGAAAGGATGTGGATCGTGTAGGTTTTGTTTCTCTTACAGATAGAAGATCTTGTTTCGTTTATCTCTATTTCGCAGTGATGTGTGGAGTTCTCGTGTTGATGCGTGATGCTTGAAGTAAAATTACACCGGGGACTGCAGAGCTGCCCACCCTTCAGACTTTCCTTTCTGAAAGTGGCGATCAGTTTTCGCTTGAACGGACACTGATTGAAATTTTTTTCCTCTGTTCAAGTTCTCTGTTTATTTTTCGGCTACATCTTGTAATTTTTCACCAAAGAGCCGAACCGGCTAAAATTGGACACTGACCACATTTATGCAGGCATATGTGTTTGTTTTTTTGAATTAACCACATATTTGATTTTTTGGTTTTTTCAACCACAAAAACACACACATACATTTCATTAGACAGATGGATTACAAAGAGTACATACGTGGTCACCGCAAGAAACAAATATAGATGTCTTGTAATATTGCACGGAAGACTCCGCAAGAAGTAAAACTAGAATTCCACTACAACAAAATCGTGTGCCACGCTAAAATGTCATCCACCGTCGTCCTCTGCCGCAGCCGAGGGCTGCCGGGGCAGCACTGAAGAATGAGGGGAACTGCCGTCATACACAGATCTGGAGGAGCACTTTTGCATAGAAAGATGCTTTTCGAGCCGATGAACCGGACCGCCGCAAGCGACGAGACCGAGGCTTTGTGGCACGTCAGCCGAGGTTCTTCCCCGTGTCCACTAGATCCCGACGCCGTCAACTTCATCCGACGCGATCGAAGAAGAGGAACGTCGCTGTCTGCTGCCATCCACGTATTCCACTGCAAGGCACCAAACACAACCGTAACAGTCGGCACCAATGGCACACGGGAGAGTGTCACGCGTCGATCACCGGATACAAATCTCATCAGATCCGAAGACTGGCAAGGACACCAAGCCTCTCGCTCTCCGGCGCCGATCATTAGAGCACCACCGAGATGGGGGAAGAACAGAAGCAGATTATTCCGACGCGATCCTCATCATTGATGTAGCACCTCTGAAAGTAAACTACGCCTATCCTATCGCCCTACCGGAGAGAAATTGCCGGCTCCCCGCCCACTCCCGTCGCTGGAGCGGCATATGGAGAAGACGAGGACCCAGCAGCATCGTCGTCGTTGATACTCCCTCCGTCCGAAAATACTTGTCATAAAAATAGATGTATCTAGAAGTATTTTAGTTGTAGATACATTAATTTTGATCCATTTTTCCGACAAGTATTTCCGGACGGAGGGAGTAGAAGGCAAGAAATTGCCTCTCGATCATTTCTGTGAAGCAGTTTCTGGGCGCGAACGAAACCGTTTTTGGCATTATGCAGACATATGTGTTTTGCCATTTGTTTTATAGTCAAAGACTTATTTCTATCTTTTTATTAAACATAGTACACAGGTAGATGCTCATATATATGCACATACACTCACTTTTATGAACTCGTGCACGCGTGCACGCCCTACCCATATGAGCATCTCCGAGAGATTGAGCCAACATATCATCTTAAGATTGATGAAGTCATCTTAGACACCTTTGTAGTCGACAGAAACGTCTCCTCCCCTGGAATGCACATCGCGGGAAAAAAATGTGACCACCAATGTCAAGTCTAGGACTTCAACCCTGGTGGGTTGGTTCCACCACAAGGAATCTAACCATCTGTGCTATGCTGAGTTCGCAACATCCTCTCTAATTGGAAGCTCGCGTCATGCACTTGCGCTATGCAGCCAGAATTCAGTATCTTTAAAAAAAATATGATTTTATGAAATCTCAAAACTATATTCTAGTTTTCAGATATTTCAGTTGTATGCCCTCGTTGTTCTCGCCCCGGCAGAAGAGGTATTTTTCATCCGCGCTAGGATCAAAGAGTACTGATGTGTTGTGGATTCGATCTCTAGACTGGGACACTGTCGCGTTCTGCGACAATGCCGTCTTCAGGAGCGCTTCGATCTGCCGAATCCCCTCCCCGGCTATAGAGCTAGAGGGCTAGATGGAATCCGCGGTCCGAGTGGCAGCTGCTAGATTTTGCAATGGAGTACTCAGGACTTGATACTTATGAGGCTGGTCACTCGAGTAGAGCCGGCGCTTATGCTGACTGGAACTGGGTTGACGGCGCTTGCGTTCGTCCAGCTCCCTCTGAAGCCGCTTGAGGCGATCGCGCTTGGCCAAGGTAGCCAGACGAGTCGACTCCATGGCCAACGCCTCGGGGGTCATCCCCGTGATGGGGGTGTGCAGGAGCTGTTCGTTCCTATGGCAGAGCTCGTCCCGCTACTCCCGGGTGAGAGCTTGGGGTACATACGGCTCGTGGCCCAGAATGTCGTTGTCGGTGTTGATGTGAGATGCACTTGCACGGCCTTCCTTGGGTTCTGTGTGTCCCGGGGGTGCGCGGTGCTCGGAGTTGTCTGCCATGAGAATCTCGGCGGTCGACTCGATGCTTTTGGACCCAGACTCCTCAAAGGAATCGTCGAGTGATCCATCAGAGAGGTCGAGGGCGGGCTCATCGAACTCGAGAGCCGCCACATGTTCCGCCGTTGCCTGAGTGGCAACAGTATGCTTGATCCAGCATTGCAGCCGTGAATGCCCGGGGCGCTTACGACGGCGCGCAATGGTGGAGTGGGCAACCACTCGGTACGGAGCCAAGGGCCGTCGGAGGAGGACTCTGTATGAGGAAGCACCGAAGTGCGTCGCGCCACGGACGCGCAAAGCCTCCACGTCCAGTGGGGCCTAGCGCAGCCATGATGAGTCGTCGGCAATGAAGGAGATCATTCCAAAACGGATTTTGCTGCCAACTAACATGATGATGAAGAAATCCACCTACTCCGTGAAATTTTGCTAGACGCCTAGCCCCATGGTGGGCGCCAACTGTCGGGGTTATGATCCTGACAATGAGTACTAGGGGTATGAATAAGGCGCAGAGCCTAGCTACGGCGCAGGTGTAACGTTCGGTGTTTAACGAGTTTAGGCCCCTCTCGGTGGAGGTAAAAGCCCTACGTGTCGTGCCCTGAGGCTTGCTTTGATTTGATGGGTATGGTTACAAAGATTACTCGCTGCCTGGCTATGGAGAGGGGTGCGGCTTATATAGAGTGTGCCGCAGCCCATGTCTCCCACGCTGCTGAGGCAATTAATGGCATTGCGTGAGTTAGTTACTAGTGTAATAAGCCTCTACTATAGCTGTTACAGGTAACGGTAGCTATAACTCTATTTAGTGGATGACTTAGGATTTCTCGACCGTTGCAGCTCCCACGACATCCTCTTGCCCTCTTATGTCTAAGTGGTTGAAGGAAATATGCCCTAGAGGCAATAATAAAGTTATTATTTATTTCCTTATTTCATGATAAATGTTTATTATTCATGCTAGAATTGTATTAACCGGAAACATAATACATGTGTGAATACATAGACAAACATAGTGTCTCACTAGTACGCCTCTACTTGACTAGCTCGTGAATCAAAGATGGTTAAGTTTCCTAGCCATGGACAAAAGAGTTGTCATTTTGATTAACGGGATCACATCATTAGGAGAATGATGTGATTGACTAGACCCATTCCGTTAGCTTAGCACACGATCATTTAGTATGTTGCTACTGCTTTCTTCATGACTTATACATGTTCCTGTGACTATGAGATTATGCAACTCCCGTTTACCAGAGGAACACTTTGTGTGCTACAAAACGTCACAACGTAACTGGGTGATTATAAAGGTGCTCTACAGGTGTCTCCGAAGGTACATGTTGGGTTGGCGTATTTCGAGATTAGGTTTTGTCACTCCGATTGTCGGAGAGGTATCTCTGGGCCCTCTCGGTAATACACATCACTTAAAGCCTTGCAAGCGTTGCAACTAATGAGTTAGTTGTGGGATGATGTATTACGGAACGAGTAATGAGACTTGCCGGTAACGAGATTGAACTAGGTATTGGATACCGACGATCGAATCTCGGGCAAGTAAACATACCGATGACAAAAGGAACAACGTATGTTGTTATGCGGTTTGACCGATAAAGATCTTCGTAGAATATGTAGGAGCCAATATGAACATCCAGGTTCCACTATTGGTTATTGACCGGAAACAGTTCTAGGTCATGTCTACATAGTTCTCGAACCCGTAGGGTCCGCACGCTTAACGTTACGATGACAGTTATATTATGAGTTTATGAGTTTTGATGTACCGAAGGAGTTGGGAGTCCCTGATGAGATCAGGGACATGACGAGGAGTCTCGAAATGGTCGAGACGTAAAGATCGATATATTGGACGACTATATTCGGGCTTCGGAAAGGTTCCGAGTGATTTGGGTATTTTTCGGAGTACCGGAGAGTTATGGGAATTCGCCGGGAGAAGTATTGGGCCTTATTGGGCCATACGGGAAAGAGAGAGGGGCTGCCTAGGGCAGGCCGCGCGCCCCCCAAGGCCTAGTCCGAATTGGACTAGGGGGAGGGGCCGCACCCCCTCCTTCCTTCCCTTCTCTCTTCCCTTTCCTTCTCTCCTACTCCTACTACATGGAAGGTCTCCTAGTTGGACTAGGAAAGGAGGGAGTCCTACTCCTGGTGGGAGTAGGACTCCTCCCTGGCGCACCCTCCCTTGGCCAGCCGCCCCCTCCCCCTTGCTCCTTTATATACGGGGGCAGGGGGGCACCCCATAACACACAAGTTGATCTACGGATCGTTCCTTAGCCGTGTGCGGTGCCCCCCTCCACCATATTCC